CATTGGAATCTTGGATGTTGCCTGAAAGTAGATTGGCTTTACCTGGAGATGGTCCTTTCCACCAACAGTCAGGGTTCCTGAGTGTCCGTACAGGGTGCAGCAGGAACATAGGGGAAAAGGAAACGTGAGCATGGTATTAGGTTGAATTGCTGCCTTGAAAAGTTAAGGTCTTATTATATGTTTCAACCTACACTTCTGCGGCATTCCAGCGAGCCGTACCACTGGCGTACAGCATGGGTGTGGTTGGAAAGCTGGTGGGGAGATAAACTAGTACCAGAGCCGGGAGGACGGCAGAGTCCAGCTCAGGGTTATGAAGACCTGAGGGCAACGAGGTGCCATTGAAGAGCTTTCAGGAAGAGAGTGACAGGATCAGGTTTTCCCTTCGGTGCAGTCACTCTGACCACAGTACGGAATGTAGATGAGGGCAGAGATTGTTAACGAGACTAGCTGCAGACGTGGTTGGAATGAGTCAAGCAAGAGAAGTTAGTGGACAGAGAGAAGCGTGGAGATCCAAGAATGCTGAGGAGGTGGGCTCAGCCGGACCAGGGCGCTGATTGGATGTGAGGAGTAGCGGAGAAGGAAGGGCTAGAGTGGCTCTCTGGTTCTGGCTTATGTGACTAGGTGGATGGCAGTGACATTGTCTGGGACAGGAACAGAGAAGGGAAAACGGGAGTGGGGAGAAGCTGCTTCAGGTTCGGACAGATTAAGTCTGAATTATCTGTGGTACACCCCACACACCAGCTAGGTGGTTGGACAGACACGAGTCTGGGGCTCTGTCGACGTCGGGGTAAGAGAGCGTATTCATTCACAAATACTTACGGAGTGCCAGGCCCTGTTCTAGGTACTGGGTCTCTGCTTTTCCTTCTAATGGGGGGAAGCTAGGCTTATTCACCTGAGTGCCTCTGGGGGAATTAACAAGGAGATAGGCTGGGGAGATGGAGAATAGTTGTTCTATGACTTTTAGGAGATAAGGGACCCAAATTATGTGCTAAGCCACCCTTAGGGAGATGGGGAAGAAGTGTTTTGGGCGAAGAGAAGAACAAGTCCAGAGGCCCTGAGGCAGGAATGAGGGGGCACGTTTGAGGAACTCTAAGAAGGCTGGTGTGACTCGGTGTGCTGTACATGGGGGAGCATGGAAAAGGAGGTTGGATGGAGGGCAAGGGCTGATAGATCAGCACTTGATCCCTGGCAGTTGGGTTTATTCTGAGTGTGATGCTCAGTCATAGGAATTTGGAGCCTTGGGAGTGGATAAGATCACTCAGAGTATGTATAGAATAAAAAGAGGAGAGGGTCACCGGGTTGGCTCACTTGGGTGTCCGACTCTTGGTTTCGTCTCAGGTCATGATCTCATGGGTCGTGGGATTGAACCCTGCGTTGGTCTCTGCACTGAGAGAGGAGTCTGCTTGGGGATTCTCTCTCCCCCTCTCCCTCTTGCCCCTCCCCCCTGCTTGTGCACTCGCATGCATGCTCTCTCTCCCAAATGAATATATAAATCTTTTTTAAAAATTAAAAGAAAAAGAAAAAGAGAGAGGACTCCCATACTTATTTGGACCTACCAGAAAGGAGAGTAGAAGGAACAACCAGAAAAGTAGAAGAGAAAGCACGATTCTCTGGTAAAGAAATATGAGGACAGAGAACTTTAAAGATGCAGGAAATTATTAAGAAGCAGATGATGGGGTGCCTGGGTGGCTCAGTTGGTTAAGCGACTGCCTTCGGCTCAGGTCATGATCCTGGAGTCCCGGGATCGAGTCCCACATCGGGCTCCCTGTTTCTCCTTCTCACCCTCCTCCCTCTCATGCTCTCTGTCCCTCATTCTCTCTCTCCAATAAATAAATAAAATCTTTAAAAAAAAAAAAAAAAAGCAGATGATGGAGGGAAAGACTGAAAATGTGAGTGTGTTTAACAGCATCAAGGGCATTGCCGGCCTCAGGGAAGGCAGCCCTGAAGTCTCTCTTCTACCGCCCCCTTCCCCCCCTCCCCCCTGCCCAATTCAGCATCGTGTCAGCTCCCCAGAGGATGGAAGCCATATTGCAGTGGGTCAAGGTGCTAACTCTCCGGCCAGGGTTGGCGGGGAGGGCTTGTATTTGGCTGATAGGAGGATGACCGAGGAGAGAGATGACCCTGAGAAGGGGCAGAAAGCACTGGTGGCTGCCCCAGGTGACTGCCCACACATAAGGAATATGGAGGAGAGAGCCACACCTGTTTTAAGCAGCCACATGTGTTTGTTAGCTCAGTGGAAGAGTATAGGTGTTACCCTGTGGTTAGTCTGACCAGAAAGCACACTGGAACTCCAGTGGTGGGTGGCAAAGGCTGGGGTGAGAGTCCGGCCTGCAGGTGCTTTGGTGGAAGACTGGGTGAGCATGCAGGGCCTCCAGCTTACCATCAGGCATGTGGTACCCTTTAACAAAACCCCCTTGAGAGGGAAACGAACACCAGATCACGTTATCCCAGGACCGGATCCTCCTGGAACCCTGTGTACCACGAGACCATTCCATAGTTAGGACAGGAGCCTCTGAGCTGAGCACCCAGAAGTACCAGATAGACTGAGAGCAAGCCCGTGTGTTTATCTATGGCAGCTGGTTTTGTATGCTTTCTCTTACTGTGTTTGTTCTTATATAATTTATAATCTGTTCAGGCTGTCTGCGCATCTGTGTTGTAAATTCTGAGAGATGAGTCTCTGAGGTTTACCCATCTTCATCTTCCTCTCCAGTGCCCTGCACATATCAGGCACTCCTGCAAATGCTCCAGACTTAAAAATCGGCCAGGGCCACCACATTCCACACTCCGCACCCCCGCCTACATCATTCCAGTTACATTTTGTGAGCAGTTGAGGAAATGGCCCGGTGTTTCCTTTGGCCAAAAGTAATTGGATTGCAAAATTGAGTTGTTACTTTGGAACTTGTCTGCAGCTGTTTGCATGCGGATATTGAAAGAGGGAGTGGTAGCTTTTATAATTGTTAGGGCAAAGAAGGGTTCTGTTTCTAATCTGGGACAACCAGCTGACTCATCAAGTGCCCTGACCTAGATTTCCATCTTACCCCTTAGGAGAATGGAAAACTGAGCTCCCAGGTTTACAGACAGCCCAAAGCTGACACTGAGGAACAAATGATTTTCCAAAAAGAAAGTAATAGAAAGAATAAAAATCCAAGAAAAATCAGCAGCTCGTTTTGATTTCCTTGTGACGGATTAAATGGCTATGAATTGTCCTTCCCCAAAGGAAACTTTCTGGCAGTAGATCTTGTAAAGGTCCATTTTAAGAGCGTGGGTCCCTTCCCCCCTCCCGCCTCTAGGTGGCAGCAGGAAGCAGAAGAACCCATGTGAAAGTAAGGCAGCTGTCTTGTAGGATCCTAGGATCCTGTTCAGCTTACACCTCTGCCCTACTGTTCCATCTGTTGAGTATCCCTAAGTTTTTTTGAGCTAACTTAGGTACCCAGATATGGATTTAGAGAAATACGGACTCAGCCAGGATTTATAGAGCCCTGTGCAGCCGGCTTTAACAGTAAAGAAATCAGAAAATCTTGAAGTAGGGCTAAAAAAAGGAATGGGAGCATTGGAATTGGGACTCCAGATTGAGAAAATTGCCCTCCTTGTTTCCTTGCTCGTTGCACATTTGTATCTAGGAGGTGGTTTGCTGCTGAGAGCTGGTGCCCAAGGAGTCGCCTGGGGCAGGACCCCTGGTCAGAGCACTCGCGCACGCAGGCTCCTTGGGCCGCTGCGGTGGGTCCGTGTAGCCATTCACTGTAGCCAGAGGACAGCAGTATGGAGTTCTGGATGCTACGGACTCCTCTGATGGCTATTTAAAGATAATAATGAAAGCTCCTATTTGGAACTTTGTAAATAGCACAGTGTAGATGCTTAGGGTCAGTGGGAGGGAGGGTGAAGGACAAAAATGTAACAAAATTAAAACTGTAAAGGAGCAGCACCATGTTTAGAACTAAGTGTGGGCATCTCCGCTGATGGAGGAGTCACATCCCGGTGGTTGAAAATGAGGCTGGGGAAAGAGTGGAAGGGTACCACCTTCTCTCCTCCCCACTCCTGTTGTCATGTTCTCTTCACGAAACTCCTGCGCCTGGACTTCCGGCTCAGGGCACTGTTGCTCTGCTGCTTGTGGAGGGCATTTGTCATCTTCTGTAGCCGTGTGTGTGTCCCGTGGCCCATGAATGCCACAGTGTGCACACAGCACCTGTCCCCGGCCCACAGTGGACTGTTAGGAAGGCTAGCTGAACAGATCTCACTGGGGAGATCTCACAGGGGAAGCAAGGACAACAGTGCAAGACAGACTGGCTGTGTTCAGAGGAATGCTCTCCATAAGAAGTGGTGGGGTTTGTGGGGGCTGGTGACTGGGCGGAGGGGCCTGGAAGCTGCTTTGGGCCAGCAAGGAGGAGGGTGGGCTCGTGTGGGAGCAGCGCTGCCTAGAGAGAAGGGGTGGGGCCGCCGGGCACAGGGCGGGAAAACCGGCCTGAGCCACACAACGGCGGCGCGGCCTGGTGCTCGAGAGCCGCCCCCACCGAGGCCTGAGAAGGAGCTCCTAGCAGCCGGGGCTCCTTCCATGGAAAGCGGAAGGAATCTGAGTTAAATCGGCTTAAATACAAGGAGGACCTTTTTGGTTCCCCGAAGTGAAAAGTCCCGGGGCCCTGGTCTCCTGTACAACCAGGTCTTAGGTGGCACCCTCGAGAACGCCTATGTATCTTCTGGTCCTTTCTCATTGGTTCCATTCTTGGGCACACCCTCCAACTAGACGACTGTGGGCAGCATCGGGCTTGCGTCCTGCAGGAAGAGAGGGCCGCAGAAGTCAGGGGCCCAGGCCCCAATGGACGCGGGCTCGCCTCCCTGCAGCGCCGGAGGACCTGGGAGAGGGGAAGTGGGGGTGGGGGTGTAAGCTGGACGGGCACAGTCAGCAGGAGAGTGCTTCGGGGATGTGGGCCCTGACTGACCTCACCGTAAGGGGGGGCCTTCTGCGTGGCGTTGCGTCTGAACTCCCTCTTGTCCGTGTTTTGCAGCATCTCCACGATACAGTGAAGAGGGGCCTCGAGAGTGCCCCCCCCCCGCAGGACGGTGAGCAGCAGAACGGCTATGGGGACCTCTTCCCTGGGCACAAGAAGACCCGGCGTGAGGCCCCTCTGGGCGTAGCCGTCTCTTCCAACGGCCTGCCCCCGGCCTCCCCCCTGGGGCAGCCTGACAAGCCGGGCGCGGAGGCACTGCAGGCCGGCGGGAAGCACTCCCTGGGGTTGGACTCCATCAGTAAGAAATGTCTGGCAGACTCGAGCCTCCACTTGAACGGGGGAAGCAATCCCGGTGAGCCCTTTCCTCTGAGCCTGAACAAAGAGCTGAAGCAGGAGCCCGTCGATGACCTGCCATGCATGATCACAGGGGCCGGGGGCTCCATATCTCAGAGCAACCTCATGCCTGACCTCAACCTTAACGAGCAGGAGTGGAAGGAGCTCATTGAGGAGCTGAACAGGTCAGTGCCCGATGAAGACATGAAGGATCTGTTTAACGAGGACTTTGAAGAAAAGAAGGACCCAGAGTCTTCTGGGTCGGCCACACAGACCCCCTTGGCACAGGATATTAATATTAAGACAGAATTCTCTCCAGCAGCCTTTGAACAAGAACAGTTAGGCTCTCCACAAGTGAGGGCTGGGTCTGCAGGACAGACCTTTATGGGGCCTTCAGCTGGCCCTGTGAGCACAGATTCGCCCAGCCTGGGGGGCGCTCAGCCTCTGTTCCACGCCTCTGGTCAGCCCGGGGCCGACAATCCCAGTCCCAACCTGATGCCGGCATCAGCCCAGGCCCAGAATGCACCAAGAGCCCTCTCCAGCGTAGTGTTGCCCAGCCAGGGCCCAGGAGGGGCCTCGGAGCTGTCCTCTGCCCACCAGCTGCAGCAGATTGCCGCCAAGCAGAAGCGTGAGCAGATGCTCCAGAACCCGCAGCAGGCCGCCCAGGCGCCAGCCCCAGGCCAGATGTCCACGTGGCAGCAGACGGGCCCCTCCCACAGCCCCTTAAACGTCCCTTATCCCCTGGAGAAGCCTGCCAGCCCTCCCGGCTACAAGCAAGACTTCACCAACTCCAAACTGCTCATGATGCCCGGAGTGAACAAGAGCTCCCCGCGGCCCGGAGGCCCCTACCTCCAGGCTGGCCACGTGAACCTGCTGAGTCACCCACCACCAAGTAACTTGAATCAGAGCGCCGTGCCTAACCAGGGCTCGGTGCTGGACTACGGCAACACCAAACCCCTGTCTCATTACAAAGCCGACTGCGGGCAAGGCGGCCCCGCGTCCGGCCAGAGCAAGACCACCCTCATGGCTTACCTTCCCCAGCAGCTGCCTCATCTGAGCAATGAGCAGAACTCCTTGTTTATGATGAAACCAAAGCCAGGAAACATGCCCTTCCGATCACTGGTTCCACCCAGCCAGGTGAGCTCCCGGCTTCCCTCTCTGTCACTGTGTATCCCTGTGGTTGGAGGGAGGGTGGGAGGGAGCAGCTACCGGCGTCCTTTGAGTCTCTGGAGAGAGAAAATCGGTCAAGCAAACCGGGGTCGATTCTGAATAAACAGAAATAGGGTAAAATTCCCTGGTATAACTTGGTTTAAAGTATCCATACGTTTGAGGCATCACCGGGCACCTAGGTGGAGGCGTCGAGTGTCTCCTGTCTGCCATACAGCATAAAGTAAGTCACAGGTGGCTTTATTCTGCAGGTAAAGGTCACGTTTAATGTGTTTCTTAGAGGCCCTGCCCTTAAAAAAAAAAAAAACAAAAACACCTTTCAGATCTCTGTGTGCAAAATACCTTAAGATTTAGTAAGGGGAGAGCTGATCCCTGACACCTGTAAACTCCGTGGTTAATTAGGCATGACGCTCCAGCCTGGCAGAGTCATGGAGAATGGTCAAGGGCCGGTTTTATCACCGTCACTGTTTGCGTTTCTGCTCATATGTAGATGTGTTCTAAGATGTCTTTTCCGTAGCAACCTTCTCATGGCAAGGGCTTGTTCCCCCAGCTTCCTCCAAGACAGAGGGGAGCACACTTGCTTTTCTTCCTCCACAGTGTGTCCTGGACTGTTCCCCATGTCCGCACGCATAGATCCCTTGATCCTTGTTAACAGTTTTGTGGCAGCAGTTGTGGAACGTGGGGCGTGCCCTCATGTTGGTGTACCCCGTCATCTCATGGTCTTCATGACTATAAGCCTGTGGCCAGTACCTTTGCAGGTACCATTGTGTGTTTGCAAAATTTTAAAAATTAAAAACCTGGTGTTGGTAATAATAATAATTGGGAAATCAGTGCCCCTCTGCTGCTGAGGGTGTGTACATGGGCATGGTGCTGGTGGGAATTAATTTGGCGTTAGATATTCTTCTTAAGCCATAAAAATGTTCATAAGCATCGACACATTATACCCCTGCAAGAAATAATCCCTAAAAAAATAGGAAAGTAATATACGGGATATTCATTGCATCGTTATTTCTAATAGCCCTGAACCAGGTCAGCATCTCTCAGCAGGAGAGCACACGTGGAAATGTTGATGCCGCCACTGGTACCAGCCAGGAAACTCCACAGCCACTGGGAGTGTCCCTGAGAGCGTCTCACAAAGCACTTGGAGCCCAGAGGCTGGGGGGGGGGGGGGGGGTGCGGAATTACCCAGGGTCTGTCTGCTCGAAGGTTAGACTCTTTCTTATAAGGATGAAATATACAGACCTTAAAAGACTGGAAAGGAGCTCAAAAAGTCAAGCTTGTCTAAATGATCATTGCTTTTTACCTTTGTCCCTGTTTCGAGTTAAATTTTCCCCCTTTTAAAGTGTAAGTCACGAGGGGATAATGCTGTGGAGCCTGACATGACTCTCAATTTTTAGCCCACGTTAATTGAGAATATTTATTTAAACATTTTTTTAAAATATTTTGTTTATTTGAGAGAGTGAGAATGAGAGAGAAAGAGCACATGAGAGGGGGGAGGGTCAGAGGGAGAAGCAGACTCCCCGTCGAGCAGGGAACCCAATGCGGGACTCAATCCAGGGACTCCAGGATCATGACCTGAGCCGAAGGCAGTCGCTCAACCAGCTGAGCCACCCAGGCGCCCGAGAATATTTATTTAAGTCTTCATCGATGCTCCGTATTTTGTGAGCGTGAGTAGCTGACGAAAGCCCAGCAGTCTGGTCCCAGGAAAATGCCCTACACAGAAGGACACGTGGTATGGTTTCAGGCAGTTAAGGGACAGTCCCACGCCTGGGGACCCGAGGTTGGCACGCTTGGAACTTCTTCACTTCTTGGAACTTCGCGTCTCCATCCGTCAGAGCCCCTCAGGGCGTTCCTCCTCTAGGGGCCCATCTGCATTTACGCATTCCAGAGAGTAAACAGCCTGGAAGTCAGACATGCGAATGTGCGGGCTTCGGGCTTCAATGGGAAGTCTTGCCTCTGCCACTGGCGAAGCTGGCGAGCCATAGGCAGCAGGGATCGTGTGCAGCTGGTGACCCTGCCCCTTGCTGTGCCTGGATACTCGGGTGTCTGGCCTGGCCTGGGGTGTCCTGGGGTCAGTGTCCCGGGGTCAGCCTTGGGCGGGGGGCGGGGGGGGCGGTGCAGAGGCTTCAGGGGAGAATCTGCGCCAACGGGGCCTGGTAGACTTCACTGTGTTCCTCCTGACCCGAGACCCCCTCCTCTGTGCGCCCAGGAGCAGACCCCGCCCAGCGCCCCTGTGGCCACGGCGGGGAGCCAGCCGCCCGCTGCCTCGGCGGCCAGCACGCGCGGCAGCGCCCCCTATCTCAGCAGCCCGCAGCAGGCGGCCGTCATGAAGCAGCACCACTTGCTTTTGGACCAACAGAAACAACGGGAGCAGCAGCAGAAGCATCTGCAGCAGCAGCAGTTCTTACAGAGGCAGCAGCACCTTCTGGCAGAACAGGTAGACGAGAGGGGAAGCCGCCCGCGCTGCCCCCACCGCCCCCACGTCCTCCGGCCTCGCATGGCACTGCCTGGCTGTCAGCCCCACTGTGCGTGCGCGCACCTGTGGGCCTGCGTTTTCGTGTCCTTTGCTCTTTTATTTTAAATTTTTTTTAAAGATTTATTTATTTTAGAGAGCACAAGCTGGAGGGGCAGAGGGAGAGAATCTAAAGCAGACTCCCCTCAACGGACCGAGCCACCCAGGTGCCCCTTCTTTGCCCTTTTAAACGCCTTCCCAGGAGTGTGGCATTTCTCAGACAGTGGTGGCCCGTGGCAGAAGCAGCTTTCATGTCACTTGGTGGGGATTCATGAAGGCAAATCTGTGGCTAAAACTATTTATTAGGGACGTTTTTCCATGCCCCGTGTCCACAACTACCAGAGCTCCAAGCTCCCTGGTCTGCTGGTTCACTGTGGGATCCAGCTTTGTTGTAAGTGTAGTTTGTGATAAGCCAGAATATGACACAGGGAAATGGCAGTGTTCCCGAGGCCCTGGAGTTGTAGAATCAGGCCCCGCCAAGCCCCCTCCACATCCTGCAGTTCACCTGCTCGGTCCCCGAGTGTGGTGCGTGGGCGTCAAGGTGACAACAGTGCTCAGGATTTCAGATTCCATCTTTAAAAGTTGTAAGAGAAGAACCAGCCACCCAGAAGACGAAGGTGATCGAGGTGGACTTGAAAGCCCACATCCCTGCCCCAGTTCTGCCATTTTTAAAAATAACGCTTTATTGGGACTCGAGTCCCGTGATCTCCAGCCCAGCCATTTGCAGTGTACAATTCAGTGGTTTTTACTATATCCACACAGTAGTGCAGCCATCACCACAGTCACCACAGTCGATTTCATCTGTTTTCAGCCCTAAAAAGAAACCATATGCCCATTAAATTTACCGCCCGTGTTATAGCGCATGCTTCCCTCCTTCCCGTGGCCGAGCAGTACTCTCATGTGTGGATAAGCTCCGTTTGATTAATCCATTCACCAGTTGATGACATTTGGGTTGTTCCCCCTTCTTGCTACGGTCGGAGGTTTTCGGCCCTGTTGAGTGCATACCCAGGGGCGGAATTGCTTGGTCACGGTAGCTCTTACGTGGGGCCCTGTGAGGAGCTGCCAGACTCGGCTCCCAAGCAGCTGCACCATTTTACTTTCCCACCGCAGTGTGAGGGCGCCAGGCTCTCCACAGCCTGCCTGTACTTGGCTTGTTGGCTCCAGCCATCCTAGTGGGTGTGAAGGAGATGTCATTGTGGCTTTGATGCGCATTTCCCTGATCTGCCCTCCCAACATTGGGCGAGGGGCACTGGGGGAGAGAGAATCGTAAGCAGGCTCCACGCCCAGCTCAGAGCCCAGTGTGGGGCTCCATCTCATGGTCTTGAGACCAGGACCTGAGCCAAAACCAAGAGTGGGACGCTCAACCCACTGCGCCCCCCCAGATGCCCCCCTCATCGTTTTTTTAAACCAGTACACCACCGTTTTTGTGGTTTTTTTTTTTAATCAAAAAAATGGGGCTCCTTAGATCTGCGCCATCCTTCTGTTTCACACAGTTTATTAAAAATCCCCCAAATGGGGGCGCCTGGGTGGCTCAGTTGGTTGGGCGACTGCCTTCGGCTCAGGTCATGATCCTGGAGTCCTGGGATCGAGTCCCGCATCGGGCTTCCTGCTCAGCAGGGAGTCTGCTTCTCCCTCTGACCCTCTTCCCTCTCGTGCTCTCTATCTCTCATTTTCTCTCTCTCAAATAAATAAATAAAATCTTAAAAAAAAAAAAAAAACCCAAATGGAACCACGAGCATTATGTCCACGGGAACGCATCTGTGAGTAACAGACATAGGGTGTGCTTCTTTCTGCTCTAACTCTGTTGTTTTTGTTTTGTGTGGGTCTTGTTGTTTGGTCTTTCCTTCTTGGTATTTTCTAGGAAAAGCAGCAGTTCCAGCGCCACCTGACGCGCCCACCTCCCCAGTACCAAGACCCAGCCCAGAGCACCTTCCCCCAGCAGGTCGGGCAGTTCGCAGGTGAGGGCCCGGGGAGGTGGGCACAGGGCAGAGCGGGTGGCTCTTGCTGTCGGCCTGGCTTCCTGCTAGAGGTGACTGGCAGGAAAGTGAAAGTCCAGTTGCCCGCGGAGTGCGACTTTCTAGGTCCCCTGCAGGCCAGGGGGACAGGGTCGTCGGGGCAGACCACTTAGGCAAGTACTCTGGCGGCGCCATCTTTTGAAGCAAAATCCTTTCTGGCTGGAGGATAGCTTATCAACAGGAAATGGCTTCTGTAGTTCTTAAGGGAGTTCTTTGTTTCTGCCATTGCGTGCATTCAAAAAGTGACCATCTTATTTTCCAGAGAAGGAGTGACTTGGGGTAGTTTGTGTGGCCTTTTGCTTCTTCTCTTTCTTCCTTTTGGCTCACTTTCGTGTCACGGGTGGGAAGCACTCTGAGGTCTCAGGTGCGGACGGGAACCTCGCTGCCCTGGCTCGGGCCGTTCTTGCAGGGATAAACAGGACCTCACACCCTTCCTCTTTCACGCCCACGGTGCCAACAGCTTGTGCACCCCTCCCCTGAGTGATTTGAGCAGCCCCCCGCCCAGCCCTGGAACCACTGTTGCAATCCGCTCGCCCTGTGGCTCTGCAACCCTGCCCTTGACGTGGCAGCCCCAGCTCCCCTGAGTCTGGCCACAGCTGTCTGTCCAGTTGCATCTCCAGCCGATGGGGACACCCTCCCCATACCCCAGCCATGGAGCTCCCCACACAGCCGGCCTCTCGTAACTCCGTGCCCTTCCATGCTTTCTTCTCCATCTAGAATACTCCGTTTCTCCAAACTGTTAAATCACTGAAATTCGATCCTTTTAAAACCCAGTGTCTTTGTCACCATTTCTCTGAAGCCCTCCACAGATCTTCCCAGGCACTGAGCCTCTGGTCCCCTGCCCTGCCACCTGTCGTCATCACCCGGTCACACCACACGGAGCCCTTGCCTCCCCGAGGCAGACCCTGGGCTGGATCCGTCCCCCGCCCCCCGCCCCGTGCCGGCAGGGGGCTCCCACAGAGCAGAAACGGGGTGGGCCTTTGACGGGGGAATCATTGAGTCTCCTGGCTTCACCCACCCTGGGGTTGGCCCCTTCCTCTGAGCCGGTCTTAAATTTCCTCGCTGCTCCAAGCTGGCCTCCGTTCCACCCTGTGGGAAACCTGCTCCCCTTCAGCCCCCAGGGCTGTCTCCTTTGAGGCTCCACCAACCTCAAAATACCCGGTGTTCTGGTTCGGCCTTTCACGCCGGAGCATAGCTCCTGCAGCTGGGGTCGTGGAGCCTCTCCGCGGCAGTGGGCCAAGAAATGCCAGCGTGACTGCCCGGCTCCTCTCTGTCTTCCAGGGTCCTCCACTGCTGTGCCTGGCATGAACAACTTGGGGCCATCTAACTCCAGCTGTCCTCGAGGGTTCCCTCAGGCCGGGAGTCTGATGCCGATGGGCCCCGGGCACACTTCGGTTTCCTCGCTCCCCTCAAACTCAGGCCAGCAGGACCGGGGTGTGGCCCAGTTCACTGGCTCCCAAAGCCTGCCACAGGGCGGTCTCTACGGCATGGCCTCCAGCATCACCCAGATCGTTGCCCAGCCCCCGCCACAGGCCACCAACGGACACGCCCACATCGCACGGCAGACTGGCGTGGGCCAGAACACCACGGTCTCTGCGGCCTATGGGCAGAACTCTCTGGGGAGCTCCGGCCTCTCCCAGCAGCACAATAAGGGGACCCTGAACTCTGGCTTAACCAAGCCACAGGTCCCGAGGGTGTCAGCCACTATGGGAGGCCAGAACCCCTCGTGGCCACATCAGGGCCTGCCGAACTTGAGCGGCCAGACCCCAGGGAGCAGCACCGTGAGCCCCTTCACGGCAGCCTCCAGTTTCCACATGCAGCAGGCCCACCTGAAAATGTCCAGCCCCCAGTTCTCCCAGGCGATGCCCAGCAGGCCCATGGCCCCCATGAGCTCGGCAGCTGCGGCGGGGTCCATGTTGCCCCCGGTGAGCGCGCAGCAGAGGACCAGTGCCCCCGCCCCAGCACCTCCCCAGGGAGCCCCACAGCCGGGCTTGCCGGGCCTGAGCCCTGGCGGGCCTGAGCTGGGGGCCTTCAGCCAGAGCCCGGCGCCACCGATGGCAGGCCGGGCGGGACTGCACTGCGCTCAGGCCTACCCCGTGCGGACAGCGGGCCAGGAGCTGCCCTTCACCTACAGCGGGCAGCCGGGTGGCAGCGGGCTGGCCAGCATGGCCGGAGATGCCGACCTGATCGACTCCCTGCTGAAGAACAGGACTTCAGAAGAGTGGATGAATGATTTGGACGACCTTTTAGGGCCTCAGTAACTGGAGGGTTTGCAGTGTTCTCAGTGTTCATACAGCCTGTATTTTTGTTCTCAGATTCAAGAAAGAGCAACTACTTGGGACCAAAAGCCGTGGCCCGGGGAACCGGGCAGGGTGGGGGTGGGGGGCTAGAGCCCCAGGGCTGAGGCAGGCCCCGGCCAGGGTCTGCGGGGGCCCCCCGGCTCCAGCCAGCAGTTGCGGTCGGTCAGGCTGGCCCCAGCCCCTCTGCTGGTATCCGTTGCCTGGTGTCGGGACAGCAGGTCAGGGTTCTACAGGTGGTTTTCAATCCAAATGACCAAAAAACCCAACAGTAAGAACAGTGAAACCCCACGATGTCAGGCTTACAAAAATCTGTGCCGTCGTGTTGACTTAATCCAAGATGTCTCCACTTGCCCCCATGCTGGGGACAGGTTTCGTTGCAATTTCATATAGCAGAACTATTTGCAATTTGTAGCATAGAAAAGATTAAAATTTTTTTTTAAGATTTGAAGACTGATTAGGATAGGTGGTGGTTTAAACCGATTGGGTGGCATTGGGAACTGAGGGTTTCCTTGTGGTCAAGAGCCTTTCTTATTCCTGCTCTTTGTCCGCTTTAGGGGAAAGGGAGGGTCCCTGGGAACTTGTTTCCGGCAGCGCAGCCTGCGACCGTGTGTGCCAAAAAGGAACAGGATGTGTGAGGTAGCAGAGCTGGGGACACAGATGAGGCCTCTGCCTCCCCCTCCCACCGTGCTATGCGCTCCCCCCCCCCAGCACTTATGACGGCCAGCCCCCAGGCAGCCCCCGGGCTACGTGCTGAAATGGGCTACGGGCTGAAATGGAATGCTCCGGGTGCCTGTGTCCCCTCTCTCGTCGTCACTCCCCACCTTCTGCTGTTTCTCTGAAAATGGATTTAATGTGTCAGGAAGGTGATCCTAGCTGAGCTGTGCACAGAGGTCTTCACCCCATCTCCAGTTTCTGTGACCTTCCTGCCTCCTCCCCTTCTTTGTCTCTCCGGGCCAAGTGGAAAACTTCTTGAAGGCAACCGTGTACTAGATTGGTGGGGAAAGAGTCACTAGAATGCCCTAGGGAGTCCCAGCGTTGTAGGCGGGAGGGCGTCTTCTCCCCAGAAAGCAGAGGTGTGGGGGAAGGAGGGAAAGCGGGGAGCACTGGGGGGGCCCCCCCGCGGGCCAGGCGAAGGAGAGAATCCCACTTGGTTTTACCACTCCCGCCACTCTCCCATGTCAGATGACTTGCACTTTTTAAAGAGAATGGCTTTATAACACTAATACATCCTTCTCGAGATTTGAGTGGATTTCTCTCTGAAGGTCTATGGACTTCACTAAGCTAAGAGTCTACAAAACAGAGGGTTACCTGTGGGCTGTTTCTGGACAACACAGATGGAGAGAGCACTTGGGTTAGAACGAAAGCAAAATGGTAAGTGCAGGGTTGAGACCCTTTTAAACAGTGTCAGAGAGCAGATAGGACACTGAGAAGAGCGGCTTCCATGCAGAGTGGTCTCGGAAGAAACCGAAACCCCATTTTTATTTCCCTGGAGTCTCAAAGTGGCTGGTTCAAGGAGTGTCCTGTGTAAATAATTGAGCCAGGGAAGATACCCACATGGGCAGCCTGAGTGGCTTTTGAGGGGACAAGGGTTGTGCACACAGGAGTAATTATTCTGCACCAGCAGTGCCTTTCATGGGGGTACTTGGACCCTCAGATCCTCTTCTCTAATAGCCATTTGCTACCTTGGGTGGTGTCTGGGCCATTTCCCCTTTAAATGCCCTCCCTGCCCTCCCCAGATGCTGAATTTAGCTTTCAAAGAAGGGAATGAATCATAAAGCCAGTGAAGACTCCACCCTCTGTGCTGAGTTCCCCAATCTGAAGGGGAAGAGGGTGACTTCAGCGGGTTGTCTACCAAAAATAGCAGGCTGAAGACTGGTGATGGGTCCTGTTCCTCTCCCGGTCTCCCTCTGGCTGCTCACCTCTGTCCCCTCCTGGGGAGGGCCGCCCCTGCCTTAGTCCTTGGGCCACCGGACAGACAGAAGGCTTCTTCGCTGCAGTGTTGGAGCAATAAAATGTGATGCTCGGGGTTCCCCCCCAGGGAGCTGCCCGTGGCTTTATTTATGAATCTGGTTTTTGGGGAGTCAGGGGAGGAGATGCCTCCGCTTCAGTGCAAATCCCCTCTTCCAGGAGCCATGACTCAAAAAAGAAGGGTGCTCGGACTTTGTTATACACATTTGCTTTGTGTAAATAAATGTTTACAATTTTATATTAAAGAGGAAATAAGCGTTAGAGTTTCTGACTGTATATTTTTTACTTTTATAGATTTTAAAACTATGATCCTTTATATATGTGTTTTGGGGGAGCTATGATAAGTTTTATGGCAAACGGTTGGTATTGTTAACTTTTTATTGTCATCAAAGTGCATAAAAATCCCATTAATCCCCTTATTCTTCTACCGCCCTTAACTCTGGTATACACCAAAAAGAAATCTTTACTCTCCTTTTATCATTATAAAATAATAAAAGTATTTTGCTAGTATGGAAACTGCCTGTGTGTTGGAGCTCACGTGGCTGCGCCTGCAGGGAGGACGGGACCGGCGCAGGACTCCTGGGGGGGGTTGGTGTCCATCCGTGATGGCAGCTGCTCACCCACTGCACAGTGGAGGGAGGGGGGACGTTTGGTCTGGTTTCCTCAGGGGACAATCTATTACCCTATGACGATGGAGGGGTAGGAGGGTGGGACTCCGGGCCACCACCCTCTCCCCTCTGGGGCCCGCTCCATCCTGTGTCTAACGGGAGGTAACTCAGGGATACTTCAGGTCCTCAGCAGTTGAGACGTTTTACTCGAAGCCCTGAGGCTTACCCTCCGACCAGCCCCCCAGGGCCGACTTAGTGTCCCCCCCCTTTTTTTGGTAAGAACATATGCTCCGGCACACCCACCCACCCTTGTCTTCACACTGGCAAATGCACCTGCCCCTCTTCCCTCTTGGCTGTGCCGGCCGGCGGAATGGCTGCTTTAAGCTGGGTGGCAGCTGCTAGCCCGGGCCTACAGACCTTTTCGTGAGGGTGGGAAAGATCATCTTTGGACCCTCACCCAAAGTGGAAACTGATGTGGGAAAGACGTTAGGGTTCGAGGCCGACGGCCAAGAAAGTATTCCTGAGACGTCTTTGGTGCACAAAGATGACTTTATTAAAGCACGGGGACGGACCCGTGGGCAGAAAGAGCTGCACTGGGGTCATGAGGGGCGGCCCGTTAAATACTTTCAAGTTGGGACGGGGTTAGGGAGAGCGAAAGTCTCTAAGGAATTTTGGAAGCAAGGTTTCCAGGACCCTGAGGCCCCGGGGCTAGCTATTGTTGGGAAAAGGTCATTTATTACCGTCTAATAAAACCTTAGTCATGAGACCCTTTGGATGTATATCGGTGGGCCGTATGCTTGGGGGATGATTACCAACACGTATCTTGGGGGGTTTAGGGATAAAGGAAGTTTCCAAAGGAATTTTTTTCTTAAAAGATTTATTTATATGACAGAGAGAGACAAGGAGACAGTGAACACAAGCAGGGGGAGTGGGAGAGGGAGAAGCAGGCTTCCCGCTGAGCAGGGAGCCCGACGCGGGGCTCAATCCCAGGACCCTGGGACCACGACCTGAGCCGAAGGCAGACGCTTAACGACTGAGCCCCCCAGGCGCCCCTCCAAAGGGATTTTTACATGTTAAAGTAGACTTAGAGTATCCTGGTGCGGCTCAGGCTAAGGTTGCCTTTTGCCCTTAGCGAAGAATTAACATCGAGGCAGTCGAGTCCCTAGAGGAATGTCACTCTGCCCGTTTCAAGGACTTGTCAGTGGGCTCTAGGTAGTACGGAAATTTAATAATTTTTCTTCTGCCTTTGTTTCCCACATCAGAAACCAGCAGGGCGAGGACAGAACTCACTCCTCCGCCTTCCTATCTGTGTCCTGGAATGCAGTCTCTGAGCAGGGGTGGCCTGCGCCAGGGGAAGCACGTGCTGTTTGCTGCAGAAATGTGAGGACAACAAACAGAGTTGGAGGTCCGGGGCCGGGAGAGGGCGGGCCAGTGTGTTCCCCGCTCCAGGCCACAGGGCCCGGCCAGCGGTAGGCAGGAAGGAGCAGAAGCCACAGTAGCTTGTCACACGCGGCCTGTGCAGAAACCTCCATTTGTCCCTGTCCCTGGAAAGCAGAACTTTTCAGGACTGTGGAAGGAAAAGCTGGAATTCTATACACAAGTCATGGAGGATGGCGCTCTATTGGACTCAGTCAAGGTGAGAGCTTGCTGAACTACCTTCGGCTTTCTCCCTCCTGACACATCATCACTGTCTCTTGTCTTGAATGCCAAGGTTTCAGATGGGTTCCGTATTTTCTTAAGTTCCCAGCTGCTTCTCCCCACTGTGGGGGGCAGAGCCCAACCACATTCTGTCGTCTTCAAGGTCAAGAGCCTCAGATATCCTATCACTGTGTCATGGTACTCTCGGTGATGGAGAATCAAGGGGGGCCTAGACCCTGAGTAGTAAAAAAAATTTTAAAGAAACCAAAATCCCATCTATTAGTTATATCTGCCTCCCCCACGCCATTTATTTTTGACATTTGTGCAGTAAAAGAGACTTTGCTTAAATTCTGCTCACTAGAGTGCACGTACCTCTATATCTGTGATGGCCAAATAGGCCCACCAGCCAAATATGTCCCACAAAAGGACCCCGAGGGCATCCATTTACCAGAAAGAGGGCACCCTGAGGGAAACCACATCATTGAGAAGCTGGGTGGCCATTCCTCAGAGGCCCATGCTGACAGTAGAAGGCGTGACAGAACCGGGCTCCCCGATAGCCATGGGCCAGGTGGGAGTGTGGGCCTTTCAGAGGCCAAGTGGAAGGACCAGGCCCACAGAGAGCTAGCGAGCCATTAGTGGGCCACAGTGTGGCCGGGGGGCAAATAGCCGGGCATCTGACAGGGGGTTGGCTTCCTTTCTAGAAGCAGGAGGACTCAACAGTGGATCGTTGGTTGGATGGCTGCCCCAAGCTGCCCCAAGACAAAGCCACGAAACATTACCCAGTTTCCGGACAGGAAGTGGTTCTCAGACTCAGAGCCCCTTGAGCAAAGGAGACAGGGGACCCCATGAGGGAGGCCTCTCCCCCATCGCTGCGTCCTTCCCAGAGGGGCCTCCCCAAAGGGGCCTACCACCATTTAC